CAGATTCCTCATGAGCACAATTAAGTGTTCAGCAATACTCATACTTCACAATGTTGTCCATAGCTTGTCATGATCCACACAATTGAAAGCCTTTGTGTAGTCAGTAAAGCACAGGTAAACATCTTTCTGATATTCTCTGCTTTCAGCCAAGATCCATTGGACATCAGCAATGATATCCCTCCTTCCATGTCCTTTTCTGAATCCGGCTTGAACCGCTGAAAGTTCTCTGTCGATGTATGCTTGTAGTTGTTTTTTGTATTACTTTTAGTAAAACTTTACTCGCATGGGATATCAAAGATATTGTCTGATGATTTCCACATTCCATTGGTCACCTCTCTTTGGAATGAGCACAAATATGGATCTCTTTTCTGTCATCTCTTTCTGCAAATGTAGTCAATTTGATTTCTATGTATTCCATCTAATGAGGTTCATGTGTATAGCTGTATCTTATGCTGTCTAAAGAAAGTATTTGAAATGAACAAATCATTGATTTTGCAGAATTCTGTCATGTGATCTCCAGTATTATTTCTATCACTAAGGCCATATTTCCCAACTACTCATCCTTCCCCTTTGCTCTCAATCCTTGCATTCCAAACACTGGTAATGATCAATATATCTTGATTGCATGTTTGATCAATTTCAGATTGAAGAAGTTGATAGAATTCTTCTATTTCATCCTCACTGGCTTTAGTGGTTGGTGCATAAATTTGAATAATAGTGGTATTAACTGGGCTTCCCTGTAGGCACATGTATGTTATCCTATCACAGACAGCATTGTACCTCATGACTGATCTGGATATGCTCTTTTGACAATGAATGCAATACCATTCCTCTTCAATTTGTTATTCCCAGCATAGTAAACCATATGGTTGTTAGATTCAAAATGGCCAATACCAGTCCATTCCAGCTCACTAATGTCTAAGATACTGATGTTTATGCACTCCATTTCATTTTCAACAACTTTCAATTTTCCCAGATTCATACTTCGTACATTCCATGTTCCGATTTTTAATGGCTGTTTACAGCTGTTTCTCTTTTTTTGAGTTGTGCCCCATCAGCAGATGAAGGTCCCATGGGCTTTTCTCCCACGAGCTTTACCCCATTCATGTCATCACAGTCAACTCTACTTTGAGGAGGCAGCTCTTCCCCAGTCGCATTTTGAGTGCCTTCCAACCTGAGGGGCTCATTTCCAGAACTATAGCTGACAGTGTTTCTCTGCTATTCATAAGGTTTTCAGTGACTAAATATTCGGAAGTAGTTCATCACTCCTTCCTAGTCTGTCTTCGTCTGGAAGCTCATCTGAAACCTGTCCACCATGGGTGACCCTGCTGGTATTTAAAATACCTGTGGCATGGCATAGCTTCCAGAATCACAGCAACTCACAAGCCACTACAGTATGACAAACTGACAGACGTGTGGTGGTTGTTGCACATAAGGGTCACTGTGAATCAACAACAACTCAAAGGCACCTAACAATGTTATCAGCAGACCAGTATCTGCCATGCACTTTTCATGTGTCTTATAAATTCAGCGTTGGTGTCTTAGCTTCCTAGTGCTTCTGTGACAGAAATATCACAAGTGGGTGGCTCTAAAGAACAGAATTTTCTCTCCTCAGTCCTGTAGACTAAAAGGCCAGAACAGGGTCTTCATCATGTCAATTCCTTCTTTGTTGGTAGCCCCGGTCACTCCTTGGTTCCTCGGTATTCCTTACATGGTATCTGTTTTTCCCCATGTGTGTGCATTTGTGTCTATATTGCTATATATAAATTAGAAGTTAAGGATCCACCCGAGTGATTAATTAGCTCCATTGCGTTGTATTACACTATGGAAGATTACATTAAATCTAAGGCCATTGCATCCATATGTTATAGGGGTTAGGATTCCAACACATTTGGGGGAGGGTCACAATTCAATCCATAACAGTTGAGGAGCTGAGAGTTTTCGTGAAAATCTTCACCCTGGTACCTGGCCTGTGTGTAGTGTCAGTGCAGTTCTCAAGAGTTTCCCTGTTGTCATGTTCACAGTAGGAAAATAGGCTTACATTTCCTCTTCCTCTCTTAAACAGATGCAAGAGCTGGAGCAGAGGCTGTTGGAGGCAGAGCAGAGGGCAGAGACTGCAGAGACCCAGGTAACAGGGATGAGGGAAGAGACTGGCGGGAGAATGCAGGGAAATGAATGTTGACCTTCCCTGGTACTTTCCATGGACACACCTGGTCATGGAGGAGCTCTTTACAGAGAAAAGGAAACCGGCAGTCACATGTTATCACACCTTCAGAACAATTATGGTGCCTGGGGCCTTCTATAATGAAGGAGTCTGTGGGTAAGAGTCAGTGCAGTTGAGTAGGTAAGCCTATTAGAATAGACTAGGCTATGCTGAGGTGATACATTAATTCTGAAATCTCAGTGGTTTATCACATTTAGTTCTCACTCATGGTATGTATCCATTGAGGGCTAGCCTGTGACTTGACTCCACACAGTCCGTGAGGGATCCAAGCTAATGGAGGCTCCCTGTCATATAGCTGGGCCATGGCATGGAAAGAGAGAGCTAGTCACTTGTGCACCAGCTCTTTAATTCTTTTGTCCCAGATGTGATGTATCATTTCCACTCAAAGCCCATTGACTGAAGCACATTGCATGACCCACCTAATTCTAAGAGGATTGGGAAATATGAGGAAGCAGTGTCCATTCAGGAAGCAGTAAACCTCTCTCATTCTGAAGTCAGAACAGCTGCTCTCCAGGGCTATGTGTCCTGACCAACTAATTCCTACTAAGAGTTACGGGGTTGAATGGCCCAAGACCCAACTGTTTTTTTTGTTTGTTTGTTTGTTTTGTTTTTTTAGAGTAGCCTAAGTGAGTTTCTTCTTTGTCCGGTCCTTCTCAAAACTTCATAAATGGCCATTTAATTAGTTAACCTGACTGCCAGGGATAAAGGTTCTGCCTGGGAGGCATCCTGTCCCATCTTACTAGCCAGTTCACACAACACATCCCCAACCCTGTGAGATGATTGGTACTTTTCAGGTGGGTGTGATGGAAGAGAAAGTAAAACTGTCCAATCTGAAGACCGTAGACTCAGCAGGCAGCCTGCACCAGAAGTACCAAGAATTGCTGAAAGCCTTACAGGGCAAAGATGAGCTCATCAGTCAGCTGGAGACCCAGTTGGAGAAGCAGGTAAGCGCCAACCCCTCTCCAACAGCCTCCCAGCTTCTTGACCCCTCAGCTTGAGCCCTTTAATGATGGAGAGCTCATTCACACATGAGACTGTTCCTTTAAGTATAGATTTAATTATTAGAAGGTCTTTCTCATACCTGCTTAGAAGTCAGGCACAGATATAGTGTATGGGTGGTGGGTGGGTGGGTAGGAATAAAGAGTGAAGGTTAGGATTGGGTCTTGGCTGTGCCTAGAACTTCATTTATTGTTATGGTGGTTACGGTTTAGGACTAGAATTGGTGTTAGGGGTGAGAGTTGGGCTAGGGTAAAGCTAGAGTAAAGCTTGGTCTCATTTTTATGGTTCTAGTTAGGTTTATTTTAACCTAACTTGAAATTTGATTTCCTCTTCATTCGTAAGTTTAATAATTACATTATTCCCTCTTTTTACTTGATGGTTTTATTGTTGTTATTATAATGAGATCTCAGGTTTTCTCTTTTTAGTCTTTTAGGTCTGTTTTACTTTGCATAATTCTAGGTGTAGGTTGAGTTTAGGAAATATTGTCATATATGATAATCTCAGGTTGTTGTCTGCTGTTGTTGGTTCTCCATCCAAAGAACTTCCTTGAGTAATTTTTGTAAGGTTGGTCTGGTTTTTACAAATTCTTTTCACTTTGGTTTATCTAAAAATGACCTAATTTTGTCAACATACTTGATGGACAGTTTTGTTGGATATATGATTCTTGGTTGGCAGTTTGTTTCTTTCAGAGTTTTATATATGCCATTCCATTGTGTATTGCCTATATGTTTTCTGCTGAGAATTCAGAACTTAGTCTTACTAATTCTCCTTTGTAGGTAACTTTTCCTTTTTACTGAACTGTTCTCAGGATTCTTTCCTTGTCTTGAAAAGCTTGATTGTAATAATATCTTGGTGGTTTTCTTTTGGCATTTATACTGTTTGGGGCTCATTCAACTTCCTTGAATAGCTGTCTTCTCCTCTTTCATGATGTTAGGGAAGTTTTCTTCCAACAACTCTTGGGCAGTATTCTCTGTGAGTTTTTTCTTTTCTCACTTCCTGTTCTGGAATTCCTATCACACTTCAGTTATTCCTCTTGATAGGGTCCCACATAAAACATAAGCTTTCTTTGAATTTTTTGTTCTTTTTTCCCATTGTTCCTCTAGCAAATGAATATTGAGAGATTTTTCTTCAAGCTGAGTAATTCAACTTTCCAATGATTTATTTCTATTTCTTGGCCCTTTCAGTGTATTGTCTATTTCTGAAGTCTTAGTGTTAATCTTCTGGCTTTCTAATTGCTGATTTCGTATCATTCTCATTGTTTTTCCCCCAATTATTTTGTCAATATGTTTCCCATAATTTTGTCTGTTTTTCTTGGTTTCATCTGTAGTTTTCTCAGTCTGTTGAAGTTGCCTAATTAGCATCCTGTTAAATTCCTTAACAGGTAGTTCCAATACTATTTCTGGTGTGATATTTTCTGACTCTGTATTTTGGTCACTTGTTTGAGTCACTCTGTCTGGTTCTTTAAGATATGTGGGGTCGTATTTATATTTAGTTGATGATTGTCTATTGTCTCAGCACTCACCACCTGCCTCCTGCTGGGCTGCATGTGGTAGAGACCAGAAGTGTAAATGCAGTTAGTTCTCTGTTCACTGTTTGGGTAGCTTGGTTCAGGGTGGGTTCACATGTCTCCAGAAGCAGGGGCACTATGCCTGGTGCCCAACCACAGGCAAAGCAGAGGTTGCACAGGAGGGGGTGCTCTGGCCTCTAGATTAGCAAGGTGGGGACTGGCTATGCACACCAGCTACCAGGAGAGTACTGGAACAAAGGGGAACTGCACCCCGTTGCTACTACCCTCATCCTGTGCCCACAGGCTGCTATATGGACAGCCACTTGCAAAAGCTCAAAGTGGCCACGCTGCTCCACACCAGCCCACAGTCCACCCATTTTTCTTTTCTCTCACTGCTCCTGTTCAGCTTCCTCTTCCCGTCAGCACTCAATCCACCTCTCTGTCCTCTCCTCTGAAACTCCAGGGTTCCAGGATCACCATCAGTGTCTGTTTCACTCAGTCTCCCATGTCTTTGTTGCAGGGGGCCAGCTCATTGTGTCTGCTTACTCTGCTTTCTTGCCCCATCTGTCCAGAAAAAGAATTTTTGAGTCAGACTGATGTGGGTTTGAATGCCCCTCTCACACTCTCTACTTTGTAACTGTGGTAAGGTTACTTAAGTTAATGATTCCCATTTTATACACTTGTAAAATAAGGGTTATAATGTCTGGTAGGCTGCCTGTTTGCCATAAAGAGTTAAGCACTTGGCTGCTAACTGAAAGTCTGGCAGTTTAAGTACAGTTCACCCCAGAGGTGCCTCAGTAGAAAGCCTTGATGATCACTTCTGGAAGGTCACAACCATCAAAAACTCTATACATCAGACAGGTCTCTTGTGATACAATAGTGAATAATTGTTATCAGGACTGATTGTGAGGGCTGGAAATGAAAAGGTAGACGTTTTATAGCAAGGAGGGGAGTGATTAACTTTTCAGTCTAGGAGCAGAGGTCCCTAGGACCATCAAGGGAGAATAGCGAGCAGAGAGCAGGACTCTACCCAGAGAAGCAGTGATGCCTGAAATGGAGGCAGAGATGATGACGTGGAGCAATGGAGCAGCTGGAGACTTTAGATCCAGAGAGGGAGAGCGACTGTGTGCTGAAGACCTGGGGGTACAGGGGGAAGGATTGCAGGGTATACCCTTTGGTTGGTTGATGATGCATAGAGGGGATTGTAACCATGGCAAAGAGACGATATACGATAGAATCAATGTAAAACTGATGTTCTCCCATGTAAACTATCACATAATTCACAATAAAACATTTAAAACAAAAACCAAAAAACCCTACACAGCATTTCTACTCTGAAAACCAAGGGGTTGTCGTTAAGGGGAATTGACTGGACAGCAACAGGTTTGGTGTTTGGGTTTAGGGCTGTGGTGAGATTTTTTTTTAAATTTTGAATTATGTGTTAGTTTACATGGGTGAACTTTATCTTTACATTCATCCTGCTGTATTTTGTTTCATTGCAATGATCACAATCCCCTGCATGCATCATCAAACAACCAGAGGGTACACCCCACATGCCTGTCCCTGGCCACCAGCACACAGCCCCTCTCCCTCCCTGAGTTCAGAGTCCCCAGCCGCTTCTATCCACGTCATTGTCTCTGCCTCCATCCCTAGTGTCACTGCCTCCCCGGACAGGGTCTTGCACTTCGCTTTCTACCTTGATGGTTCCAGGGATCTCCGTTCTGGACTACAAAATCAACCACTTCCCTCCTTTTGTTACCAAACATTTACATTTACCTTTTCAACACTCACTGTCAGACCTGATAGCAATCATTCCCTATTTAACCACAGGAGTCCTTTCCCCCACACCTTTTATCAACTTCATCCAGAGAGGTTAGAAATAATTCAGTGGAGATTCTACCTTTCCCTGTATCCTCTGGAGCTAGTAAGCCAGTTGAAAAGCTTGTAAGCCAGTCACTTCTTGCCTTTGTAGCCACCCCATTTTGGGTAGCCAATGTCTAAGTTCCCTATCCCTGTTAACCCTGTGTACCAAGGGGGTGGGAATGATCCTCACTGTAGAGATTTGTCCGCTGCTTTGTTATACTGCATTCAAAAGCATAGGTCAAGTCCATCCACTTGTAGTGGGTTACTCCTTTTTTTTTTTTTTGCCTCTTCTTTCTTCCTCTAGTCTTCTGATCATCCATTGATGCCAGGTCAGATGGGTACTATCTGCAAGTATGCATGTTCTTATGCATCCTCCCATCTCTTTATAATAGCTGGATGTTTCACACTCCGTTCTAGTCCTCTGGGGGCCATGTCCCTGCCCCTGGGCCCAGGAGTTCCCAGGTCTCGTCATACTGCTGGTTAACCAGGTCTCAATTCAGGTTAATTGAGCCTATTGAATATGGTCTGACCCAGTTCACAACTTCATTGCTGTTTTTCCCCCACTTCCCCTCATTGGTGACGAATGTGGTCAGCAGCAGGACCATATGCCTGCTAGTGTATTCCATTTGTGTTTCCATCTTGGAAGGGGGTTTTACTTGAGGGGACCTGGCCACTTGCCTGGATAGTTCCCAGGTGAACAACTTGCTTGTTCTTGTAGTGTCAGTTGGACTGCTATTACTGTTTTTGATTTTTTCTGATGGTCTTTCTTTCAAGAAGTATTTTCTGAAGGAACAAACAAAATGATGGATCAGGTGGAAGTGCAGTGAGGAGCTCCACCGGCAACAACACAGAATAC